ATCTGGAGGCCCAAGGTTGGGGACCACTGCTTTAGAAGGTACAAGGGGATTTTCTGAATCCCTGTGCGGATCAGAATTATGGGGGGTATGGGGGGTGCCTGTAAAAATGAAATGGGGGTTACTTATATCCTACGTAGCTGCGCCCCCTTGGTTTTGCACTCTATGTCTTATATCTATAGGGGGCACACCGTGACTAGCCTCACCTCATGGTCAGATCTGTAAACATCTTCTTTGTTCCCCCTGCCCAAGACTGTCCATAGGAATTTAGAAAAAAAAAAGGGGGGGAATCTGCATACTCTAGAGATGGGCACAGAACAAAAAAAAAAGACGAATCGGGGGGTGGTTTGTGGCTACCCGCGAACCACCACCCCAATCCCTAGAAAAAAACGAACCAGTTCGTGATTCGGGGTTCGTGCCTAGGGGGAGGGGAACCTAACATCCTTGCCCCATTCCCCCTTCTCCTGCCACCTCCTCCTCTTCCTCCTCCGCTGCCTCTATCTTCAGAGACAGCGAGCCTTGCTCCTGGAAGTGACTCCGGGCCACTGTCTCCACCCATGCACTGGCCTGCAAGGCAAATAGGATCCACAAACCGAACAACGAAGTGAACCACAGTATGGCCGATCTTTGCTAGACAAAGATGATTCTTCCCCATTGGAACACATTAAACAGGTTTCAATGCATTCCAACGGGGAAATGCTTTTCGCTAGACGATGATTTCGCTAAACAGTGATTTCAGTGGAATGGATTATCATCATCTAGCGAGGCACCACTGCATTTACAACCACAGTGAATCTGCCTGGGTATAATAACACGGCGAAGGATATGCTTGACCCTTCTGTTTTTTTCTACCCCACCAGCATCCTCCCGCAAGCGGCGCTGGAAGAAATCCACAAATTCTCCGGCAGCTACACCTGCATGAACACTTTCAAGGGGCGCACCTAGGCTGCCTGTCGCACTCTTCTTTCTCGCACATGTACTCTGAACAGGCGGAAACCTGGTGAGAGTGCCCGCGGGCTGGTGGCAGCCCTGGGCTTGACCTCGCTTGCCGTGGTGGCAGGGGTGAGCGCCACGGGGAAGCGGCCCGTTTTGCAAAAGGCTGGAAGGCCTCTCTGACTTCTGACAAGGAGGAAAAACCCGGAGACGTTGGGGGCTAATACTTTACCCATCAAGCTATTTCTCTTTTCAACGTAATTTTTAGGAGTTTCCAAGGCCAGCTATTCTGAAGCTGGCATCTCCTGCTGGTGACCACCCAGTACACCTCTCTGCCTGCTAACCAGGGACTGCCAGTAAACTGGGCGAGGCGGAGTCATCCCCATCGTTTATTTCCTCCCCTTTCCTTCTGAATACGTAAAGATTTTAATGTTGAGCACCATTGAGCAGCGGTTGATGCTAGCCTTTGCTTTTTGTTCCTTGCCTTTGGAAAAGGGTGCCTCTTTTTCTCTACTTTTCTAGCCAGGAAATCCGTAGGGAATCTACATTTCATTTAATATATAAATAGGTTTGGCTTCAAATCCCATAATTCTCCTTTCTGGGAGTCCCGCTTGCAGAAGGCAGGCTTTTACAGACACCTAAGTTGTGTTGACGTGGAGAGAAGGCTGAGCTGGCGGGCTTCAAGCATGGGCTAAGCCCAACTTTCTTTCTGATCAAGAAAGCCGCCCAGTGGCTGCTGGCAAGCTTCCTTTTCAAACTGGAAGTTAGGCCCGTCTAAGCTACAAAGACTGCCGTCAGGGACTTCTTTCTAGGTGAGCACAATGAATGTGCCCGTCACGCCTGGGTTATGGGATTTGTAGTTCCAGAAAATTTGAAATGCACCTCCCTGAAAATCATGGTTGTGGGGAGAAAATATAGGATGTTCTTTTTGTGGGAGACAGTTTTCACAAAGCAGGGTCTGCACTCAACTTGAGGGAAGCCCAACAGCCTTTGTTGCTTCCGTTGTAAGGGGGTTATTTGTAAAGGATTGGAGGGTGGAGGCTGATGACACCCAGTTTTTTCAGGCCATTGACTCCGAACTTCAAAGGAGCTCTCCAGAGTGCTGAAGAAATTTGAGTGATGGGATTCTGCACCCTGGAGACCTCTTGTAAAGTTCGGCCTAAACCTGGAGCAGATTCCTCAATCCTATAAAACTGGCATCCTTGGGATCAGGTACAGATCGCCTTTAAAGTAGCCCCATTGAAACCAGGGAGCCCTTAGCATCGATTCCAATCCATAGCTTTGGAGAGGAGAATATTTCTTACTCTTCTTGCTCTGTTCGGACACTGTGGAATGGCTTCCCTTCCTGATCATATAAGAAGGTTCCCTTCCGTTCTATATCATCTCAAACACTAGATGGGCATCTCTCTCTGGATTTTCACGAGTTCTGCGTAATGCTCACGGTAGCCCTTTGGCCTTGCCACAAGGTGACCCAGGATCTATTTCAGCAGAACACACACACATATCTTGGGTATTGGGAGCCACAAAGGACTTGGATGTAACGAGCATCCTTTACTCACGAGGAGCCTGTTCTAGACCGAGAGGGCCACATTAAGCAAAACCATGGTGTTTTTGAACCCAAAGGTCTTCTAGACAGGTTGTTCATGCTGTTCTCTAGGAAAGACAGAGTAACGTCATTTTGGGAGAAAATTCTGAATTCTTTACATTCGCCTGTACAATGTTTCAGGAGTCTTCTCGCAATCTTTTGGCTACCATCTTCCTCATTCTGAATGAGCACAAAAACCAGTTCAATATATTTAAAATGTTTGTCAAAACTGTCTCTGCATGGACTCAGTGTATTTTATGACTAGCTATCCAAAAAACAAAACAAAACAAAAAAATAGAAAATGAAAAAACAAAAAACAAAACAAAACAAAAAACGAGAAAATGGAGTGAGTCTACTGGTGTTTCACCCAAAGTTGGCTGGAATCTTCTTGGGGGTTGACGTCTGCTCAGGAGGAGTCAGGGAAATTGCTGGAGCTGCTAATTGACATGGGGTTACTCTTATGTCATTTACATGCCTGATTGCATGCTTGCAGCATCTTCTCAATTAGCTACAATTACCAGCAGGATGGCCATCATTCTTCACGAAGGTCCCAAGAGGATTTGGGCCATTGGCCAGAATCCTATTAATGTTTGCTTACGGTTTGTGTAGCCCGCCACACTCCGTGATGAGGGTGCTGGGGCACCTCTCAGTTCCACACAGTCTTTTGCAAGACTGCAACATGCAAACGGAATTTCGCTCCATAAACAGCTGGCATGAAACCAGTCGAAGAAGAGCAAGGAAGTAAAAGCAAACTAATAAAAGCGTGCTGCTTATATACCACCCCATAAAGCTTAAAGCAGTCTCTGGGCAGTTTACAACTTAATTATGCAGGCTACAAACTGCCCACACCACTAGCAAACTAGGTAGCCAATTTACCGACCTAGGAAGGATGGAAGGCTGAGTGAACCTCGAGCCGGCTACCTGGGATTGAACCTGGGTTGTGAGCAGAGGTTTGGCTGCAGTACTGCAGTTTAACCACTGTGTCACAAGGCTCAAGTCACAACTGTATGATTGTATCATTCTTTGATGACCTTCTTCTCCATATCTTCTGATCTGGAGGTAAGTACTTGATAGTCTCGTTACTCCCTCTTGAAATAGGGTCCATTAATTACCCATGTGTTCCAGAAGATGATGTCATAACTTCTGTTTTGCAAAAATTCTTAGGAGCCGTGCGTTGTGAACGGAAGATGAGAGGTACCCACACAAACCACAAACACTATGCCAGCTGTGAGCTCTTGCAACTTGGGACGAGACTTTTGTCTTTGACGGACTTCCATCCCCTAATTGGGCAGGGCCTCCAAAGGCCAGATGATGGGAGCTGATGTCCCACAGCAGCATGAAATGGATCAGGACCTCGACCTGCATTCTGTTGCTTTGCAGGTGTTATCTTCCAACGTTGCAAAGCACAGACATGGCAAGACAACAAGCTTGTTCTGCAACCCCGTGCTTAGGAAGCACATCAGAGAATGGAAACAAAAAGGTGTGGAGAGACGGAGAGAATGGACCCCTCCTTCTGCTCTTCCCCCCTTCCTGATCTCTAGAATGAGATGAAGCACCGACTTCCCGTTCTTGCCCAAGCGTTTCTGGTTGAAAATTTCCCCTCTCGGCCACGGCAGTTGCGATCAGGCCAGAAATACCTGCACGTGATCACTCCTGGGTTGTGTATTCCCCCCGGGAACTTTCTGGCGGAATGCTTTCAATTTTGAGACAGGCTGGCAAGCGGCCAGAGACCAAAAACGCTCAGCCTGCTTATGTCGCATCTATTCTTATACTGAAGATCAACACCTGCACATGGCAGTTATCCATATGTCGCATATAAATGCACACCCGCCTTAAAATCCTCGGTTACAGCAAAGCCGTTGAAATGTCCACACCACTGCTCTGGGATGTGGGCAACTTTTTTCAGCTGCACCCTAGGTAGCTCTTGGTTGGATATTACCTCCAGATCCTCAAGAAAAGGATGAAAAAAAGGATGTTTTGGAAGGTAGGAGATTATAGCCAGCCAACGGCTGTGTGGTGTGTAGTTTGACAAGTGTATGTGGACAAGTGCCACATCTTAGAACGGCAGAGCTGGAAGGGACTCCATAGATCATCAAGTTCAACCCCTACGAAAGAGGCCCAGCGGGGGGAATCAAACTCTCAACCTGTGGCTCCACAGCCAGAGACCCAAACCATTGAGTTATCCAGCAGTCCTCATAATAATCTTAGAACTGCAGAGCTGGAAGGGATCCTGTAGATCATCTAGTCCAGCCCTTGTCAAGGAGGCCCAGTGGGGAATCGAACTCCCTCTGGCTCTGCAGCCGGTGACCTAAGCCACTAAGCTACCCAGAGGTTCCTGTGTGTGTGTCTCCCTCACCTCTAGCACCACAAATGTCTTTTTATTGTATTTATTTATTGCTGAGTGAGTGGTGAAGAATAATTCCACCCTATTATAATGTTTTCCTGTGGAATTTTTTCTTCTTCAAATCTGTACAGTTCCTTCCTTGACTCCGGAAAAAAAAGGAAGGAAAGGAAGGATAGATGGCAAGGGGAAAGTGGCCTCACCATGTGTTTTCTGCTCTGACGTTCCTGTAGTAATGACGTCTTCAGCAAATCAGGGGAGAGTCGCTAAAAAGATTACAGCTGCCTTCAGCCTCAGGTTGCTTTAGTTCTCGAATGGCAATGGAGTCCGTAAATCTCGAAGTGTTTCATATAGGATCCCTGTCACGGGGCTATTAAGTTTTATAACTTGCATGTTTCAAGTGGAACACTGACTACAGATTCCTTCTAAATCTCATAATGCATTCCGCATGCTATCAAATTCCAGACATATACCCCCAAGATCAATGGCAGTTCCTTTTGATTAAGACCTGCAACCTTTTGTTTCCAGCGTTGGGAGCCAGTTCAACACAAGCACCTCTACAGTATAGAGAGCAGGCAAACTACTGGATACCTCAGTTGTTTAGGCCAGTTCAACACATTTCCTTGCGAAGCTCAGTCTTACCGGAATGCAGAGGGCTTTGTGGCGAACTGGACCCATTTCACAGGCATCAGCACTGAGTCTGAAAGATAACTGCTTGTTTAAGGCTAATTCATAGCAGCTCTTGCAGCCAATCCAGCTATATTGCAAGCACCCCTACAGTACAGAGCAGGCAAACTACCGGATAGCTCAGTGGTTTAGGTCAGAGGTTGCGAGTTCGATTCCCCACTGAGCTTCCTTGACAGGGGATGGACTTGATGATCTATAGGATCCCCTCCAGCTCTGCAGTTCTAAGATTACTTTAACTGTCATGCGTCAATCCTCCAGTTTCCTTGCATGTCTAGTTTGGTGATGGACTTTGAATTCTGAGCCAGAGAGATCTAGTCCACTCCACCAAACTTCACAGAGGTGGGTAAGTCTCTCACCAAACTATAAATCTCAGGATCCCGTTGGATGAAGCCATCACAGTTAACTTGGTATTGACTGGGTAGCACAGATGCACTCTTTGTCATCCGACCATGCCCCCACTGAATCAAATCCACCAAGACAACCATGACAAAAATATTGAAACACTACCTTGGGTTAGACCTGAGCTACAAACGGTTGCATGCTGTTTTGAGAGCGAAATCTGCTAGTTTCTAAGAAGATGAAGGAAAATATGCTTTTTATCTTGGAAGCAAATCTTCTTTGCCTCTCTTGCTGCCAAGTCCTAGTGAAATCCTTGCTGCGGCACAACTAATTACAGATTCAAGGAGCAGGAAGGGCAGGGGCAGAGACAAAGGACAGAAAACAAAGACTAATAGGCTCCCTGCATTGCCCTTTTAAGCAGGAATCAAAGGAGACTGCATTCATTGCCCTTTTAAGGTCCCTCCCTCACTCCCTTCCTAGTGGTGGCCTTAGGAAGCTGATTGAGACTTTTCCCTAGTGGCTGGGAAAAAAAACACAAGAAATGTGGCAGCCGGGTTGATCTCTGGTGTCAATAGGTTTGACCATATTTTACCAGTCCTGGTTTGTCTGCTTTGGCACCTCATTCCTTTCCAACCCTTTTCTCACCCAGTCCTCCCAGGCGTCCCTCCTACAGGCGGCCATCCTGAGAGAGCCAAAGGTCTCCACTAGGAGCAGAGACTTCTCGGTTGTGGCTCCATCTTAGTGGAATAGTCTCCCACTGGAGATCTGCCAGGCCTCCTCCCTCCCTTCCATCAAGAAGATGCTTGATATGGGAATTCTTTAAGGAGGCACTCAAAGAAATCACTTCCCCAAGGTCGTTGCGGGATCCGGGTTTGTAGCATGCCACCCTTATTTGGGATTTGGGTTGGATTGTTGTTTGGGAATTAAATTTATAATTTTGGCATTTGTTGTTGTGTACCTTGGGGTACACAACAACAAATGTTTGGTCTCAGGGGGTGGTGTGGGAGTGTCAGCTGCTCATAGTAATGCATGTCACTAAGTTGGGTGTTATAAACATGTCTAATAAATAAATACATTTAAAAGGTGCCTTTCCAAGCTCTGCTTCCTTACAAAGTTGTGTTCTTCTCTAACCTGCTGCATTCCAGATGTGTTTCACTCCAATACCCATCATTCCCTCTCCCCCCCAGCTCCACATCAGGACATCCTGGTCCAGCAGGCACCAAATGCTCGCCTCCCATCCGTCTTGTTCCTTCCTTCGCAGGCCGCCAGCTTCCCCTCCTCCCGGCGCCTTCTGCGAAAGGTCGGAGGGCAAACTGAAAATCCGGGAGGTTTTGGTAGACGCCTCGGGCTGACATGAGCCTGCTCAGGAGAGGTGCCTCGGGTTCAGAGCAAGGTTACCCAAATATCAGATAAATTAAGCCAGAAGGAGAGACAGTTTGACTTGCCGGTGAACTTTTAACCCGGCCCAGGTAACCTCTTTCCTTTCCTGGCCTGGCGCAGGTGGATGGCAAGGGTTTCTGGCAATGCTTTCCAGCCTCAGCATGATGCCTGAAATCAAAGCTAAGACCCCAGCTGAGAGGATGCCCCAGCACAGGAAATACTGCACAGTTGAACTGACCCCAACATTTTGCCAATCAATATCACCGAGGACTTTTAACACCCCTCGCCGTATATTAACAATGACTCTCTCCACCTCACCATCCCTGGGAAGTCGATTCTACTCCGCTTGCTATACGCTGCCTTCAGAGCCTAGAAAAATAGGTTGTTGTGTTTTTTTTGGACAACAGTGGTCCGACTCTGGCACCCAGCGGAGCCATCGGAATCCTGTTTCAAATCCTCACGTCCCCAATGAGGAACTTCTCCAG